CTCGAAGCTTCTGTTGTTTAGAATAATTTCGAACACCCAGAAAACTATCGAAACAGTGTCGAACGAGTATCGCCTCCCAGGGCCCGACACGTGACAACCCTTCAATTTCGGTACTTGCCTGGTGCTCGAAATTCCTTCCTGGCGATCAAAACTAAAGTAGGTTGGAACATCGCAACTCGATGCCCTCGATCCTCCTCTTCACCGACGCGAGGATGAAATGCTGGATGGCAGAGAAGGGGGGCTCGCGTGGGTGGTCTTCCCGGCGCTTGCCGGCGCCAGAAGCGCCAGCTTGGATCCAGGACGGCCCTGTCGTCCAATGTCGCCAGGGGGAACGAACAGCAACAACGTCGTGAACAGATCATGGCCAGAGCTCTCGGCGCCACGTTTGGGCTGGACCTTTCTGCACGCAGGAGTGACCCTGGGTAAGAGTGACATTTGGTGCGCGGCTTTTGGGGGGCCGCGGGTGGGCCAAACACAAGCGCCGAAGACCGCCTCGCGTTCGGCGATCCGGGGACCCCAGTGGGCCCGCACCAAAGGTCACTCCGCCGAAGGGTTGCTTTTACGCAAGCTGGATCGATCAGCGGGGGATCCTGGGGCCTGCCTCTCGTTGTAAGTCGGGCGCGTCCCTCTGCAGGATGAATGTTCAAAATCAAAAAATGACCTGGGGACGATTTTTCTAGGGGGACATGCCCGACCTAACGACCTACCGCTAGTTTTTCAAGACGCCCGATGTCACGGCCCTCCACCAGAGCCGACTCGATGTCGAGCAGCCTGGCCTACTCTCCGAGCCGCGCCCACCCACGGCCACGAGGAGGGGGGACCTCTGAGAACCGACGACCTTGGAATGCTCGCGCTGGTGGGGAGGGGACGCGCCGCGGAAGCTTCGGACGCCCGACATGGGTACGGAACAAATGGGTACAATGCCCAACAACACATGTTGTCCAAAACCGACGCCGGCCGCTGGTGGGCAGGCGGCTCCATGTCTTCAGAGAGCAGCGACTGCGGAGGCGCGGACAACGAGTCCTGTCCAAAACGAGCAGGAACCGCATCGTGCTCGTTCTTTCCGTACCCACTCTGGCCGTCCCGGACCTTGGAGTGCTCGCGCCGGTGGGGAGGGCCTAGAGGGCGCCGGCCAGACCTTTATAGAGAAAGCCCGCGCCCTCTAAGCAACAGGGGTGCTTCTAAGAAGCCTACCCCCCTGCCCCTACCCCCCTCTGCGCGCCAATCCTCCTCCTCCTCCTCCTCCTCCTCCTCCTCCTCCTCCTCCTCCTTTCCTTCTCCTTATAAATGACTTCTCCCTGTCGCACCCCGAAGCCAGTTTTTAGGGCGGGCCGGGCGTTTCGCCTAAGACTTCCTCAGCATTGATGACTCTGAGACTTAAGAAATGTCAACAGTTTCACAAATGAAGGGCGGGCCGTTTTCTTCAAAATGTGGCTCGCGCCTTACCGCCGCGCACATTCGTTTTCAACATTTGCAAGAGTTTCACGGGTTGAGGGCGGGCAGTTTTCAAAATGTGGCTCTCGCCTTAGCACAGCGCCCATTCGCCATCAAAGTTGGCAAGAATTTCACGGATTGAAAGCGGGTCGTTTTCAACATGTGGCTCTCGCCTTAGCGCCGCGTGCATTCGCTTTCAACATTTGCAAGAACTTCACGGATTGAGGGCGGGTCGTTTTCAGAATGTGGCTCTCGCCCTAGCGCCGCGCTTATTCGTTTTCGAAATTTGCAAGAGTTTCACGGATTGAGGGCGGGTCGTTTTCAACATGTGGCTCCCGCCTTAGCGCCACGAACATTCGCTTTCAAAGTTTGCAGGAAATTCACGGATGGACGGCGGACCGTTTTCAAAATGTGGCTCTCGCTTTAGCGCCGCGCACATTCGCTTTCAAACTGTGCAAGAGTTTCACGGATTGAAAGCGGGTCGTTTTCAGAATGCGGCTCTCGCCTTAGCGCCGCGCCCATTCGTTTTCAAAGTTTGCAAGAATTTCACGGATTGAGGGCGGGTCGTTTTCAGAATGTGGCTCTCGCCCTAGCGCCGCGCTTATTCGTTTTCGAAATTTGCAAGAGCTTCGCGGATTAAGGGCGGGTCGTTTTCAACATGTGGCTCTCGCCTTAGCGCCGCGCGCATTCGCTTTCAAAGTTTGCAAGAAATTCACGGATGGACGGCGGACCGTTTTCAAAATGTGGCTCTCGCTTTAGCGCCGCGCACATTCGCTTTCAAACTTTGCAAGAGTTTCACGGATTGAAAGCGGGTCGTTTTCAGAATGCGGCTCTCGCCTTAGCGCCGCGCCCATTCGTTTTCAAAGTTTGCAAGAATTTCACGGATTGAAGGCGGGTCGTTTTCAAAATGAGGCTCTCTCGCTTCTGCGCCGCGCACATTCGTTTTCAAAGATTGCAAGAGTTTTGGTGCAACAGTTGTGCTGATTCGCGGTGATGAAATCCCCCAAACGGCGTTACGACACGATTCCGGATCGTCGAAACGCAGCAGTCAGGTTGATACGTGGCGTTGAAATCTCGAAACCAATGTTTCGGCATGCTTCAGGATCTCCAGACGGTTGTCTTCCAACGAGGCAGTTCCCTCAGTGGAAATGTGCCGTTGCAGGGGCCCATGAAGAGGGAGCTTGGAGGGAGGGCACCTTCCAACATCGTTGGTGACTCTTGGGTTTACATTGGTCCTCCTCCTCCTCCTCCTGCTCCTGCTCCTCCTCCTCTTCCTCCCCCCTACCCCCCTCTGCGCGTGTCCGATCCCCGATGGTCTCGCCGAAGACGACCTGCACACGCCCGGGCGATGCCAAAGGGAGGGGGCGGCGCCGCGGGAGCGGGGCGGCAGCACCCGCCTCGGGCGCGAAGGCATGGTGCCGGCCCCTCATTGGCCCCGGCGCGGGGGGCCCCCGGAGCGCCAGCAGCGCGCGCGCGGAGCGCGTGCGCCCCGCCACCCCGCGGCAACTGGCGCGGACGAGGGCGGAGGAAGGCGAACGCCTTCCTATGCGGCCTTTCGACACTGGGCGGAATGGGTGGGGATGGTAAGACGAAGCCAGGACGAGGATACCATCGGGCGAGGACAAGTCGAGGATCTCTGAGGGCTCTGGATGATGCCTCGGACGCCACGGCCTTCTCAGAGCGTTTCGGAACGCTCTGAGAGCGTTCCGGAACGCTCTGGAACGGATTTCTTCCTCGTCCTAGCTCCGTCTGCTTATTCGGCGTTTCGACATTGGACGGAATTGGGGGGAGGAGGGGGGGGGAGTCTGGCTCTGGACCTCTGCTTCATGCGACTGCTTGCTACAATGCGTCCTATGGGGGAGACTCCACCTGCTTGAAGCAAGCGCCAAAAACAGCCAATATCAACTCCATGGGTGGGGGGAAGGGGTGCGAGGGCCCGCGCCGATCGGCAAAACAATGAAGCAGAAAACGATCACACAGGGGGCTCGTGCTTCGGCGCAGCAGGTAACCCACGAAACGTCGCAGGCTCGAGACAAACCACGCGATGCGCTCCTCGAGTGAGCAGAGCGGTATCCGCGTCGGCCCTGGAGAAAGTGCAGAGGAAGAAAGCAAGAGACGGGACGAGGCGAGACACACGCTGGGGCGCGGCCCCCCTGGGCTCTGGGGTTCGGAATCGGGCGCGGGAGCGCCGAGCGTTCCAGCCGAGGCGATGCAGAGAAGCAGTGCGGAGTGAACATGTTGCAAGGCCTGAACGGTTTCTTGTATCACGTGTTTATGGTACATGCGCACATGTTTTATTATCATTAGTATTATTATTATTATTACTACTACTACTATTATTACTATTATTATTATTATTAATATTCTTCTTCTTCTTCTTCTTCTTATTATTATTATGTTTATTATTATTATTATCATTATTATCATTGTTATTATTATTATCATTATCATCATCATTAGTATTATCATTATTACTATTATTATTAGTATTAGTATTATATATATGTTTGTACATGTGGTTACACAAATACAGTGTGTACAAGCAAGTTAAGACCCAAACATGATTACAGGTTTAGGTGTGCGCCGACTCCGAAGACGTTGTCCATGAGCATTGCGTGAAGCCCTGGGTATAAGGGGAGAAGGGTGCGGGGCCTCCTGGGGAGGAGGAGGAGGAGGAGGAGGAGGGAGAGATGCAGCTACAGGGAGGCTAGGAGTAGGAGGAGGAGGAGGAGGAGTGGCTCTGGGCTCTGGGGGCGAGCGCGGGGCCGTCCGAGAGCGCCTCGGGAAGAGTCGGTCGAGGGCCCCACGGGCTCCCACGGATTTTACTCGAGGACGACCCGGACGAGGCCACGAGAGAGCCCA